TTTGAAGTGAAAACAAAACATTGATAAAGAAGATAAACAAGATCATACATATTAACATGCATTGACTGATGTAATTTTAAAAGATTTAAGGCACATATTAACACACCTGCAAGGTGAAACTGATATATCTACTTATCCTCTATTGGGAGAATTTAATATATCTCTCTTAGAAAGATAATTTATCAAGAAGGAATATCAAGAAATAACATCAAGATATATCAAAAACAAACAAAATAGGGGAAGATTCATATGCAATGAGAAGCAAAATTGCCAAAAATGATGTAATGGATATAAATTGAATTCTATATCCCACAATTCTAAATGCATCATTTTTAAACCCTATTGGGAATAATGATATATCCAAAGCAAATAAAGCAAATTTTAAGTTTCAAATCATACAAAGAGGCCAAAATCTTTATCAAAACACAATTAACCTAGAAATCTGTAATAAAAAAATTCTTAGAAAGTCGTGTGTGTGTGTGTGTGTGTGTAAGATTAAAAATTGTTTATAACCAGGCATGGTGGGGCACAGCTGTGATCTCAAGTAATCTGGAAGCTGAGGCAGGAGGATCACAAATGCTGAGCCAGACTTCATAACTTAAGAAGACCCTATCTTAAAATTAAAATAAAAAGGGTTGGGGATGTAGCTCATTGATAGAACACCCGGGGGTTCAATCCTCAGCTCATGACTGATAAAACATTGCTTCTATATTACCTATGATTTTAAAAAATACAACAAATATTATTAAGGTAAGGAAGGAAGGTAAGGTAAAGGAAGGAAGGAAGGAAGGCAGTCAGGCAGGCAGATAAGCAACCAAAACCTTCTTATTAAAGAATTTTGGAAGGTGGAGCTTTATCTCCTTGAAGGCAGATAAGACTAAAGTTACATAACTCCGAATAACATTCTAGAAAGTGAAATATATTACATTACCAGGGGGAAACCCTGGAGATAACGCCATACCTAAGTAACCAGGTTAACATCAGCAATGATAAGTGAGATTGACAGCATGTGCCTTCTGGTATGACAACAAGGACAAATGACCTTTGGAATTCTCCCTCCAAATTCATAACTTCAGTGCAATCATGAGAAAAGATTTGCAAAGTTTAAATTGAGAGACATTCTACCAAAAAATACACGACCAGCACTCTTCAAAACCATCAAGTAAAAAAACACAAGAGAGAAACATACAAAGTTCAGATTTGTACAGATTCAGTTTGTAAAGAGACACTACAATTAAAGGCAATGTGCATATCCTGAAAGGGACATGAAGTGGAAAAACTGCTAGCATCCAATTAAAATCTGTAATTTAGTTAATAGTATTGAGCAAGTGTTAAATTCTTAGTTATGGAATGTACCATTGTTACATGAGATGCTAAAATCAGAGGAACCTAGATTAAGTGTTTATGGAAACTTTCTGTACTCTTTTTTCTACATTCTGTAAATCCAAAGTTCTTCCAAATTTTAAACTGATTTTAAAAAGGCAAACTGTTGAGCTGGGGTTGTGGCTCAGAGGTACAGTACTTGCCTAGCACGTGCAAGGCCCTGGGTTGGATCCTCAACACCACATATAAAAAATAAATAAAATAAAAAAGGCAAACTGTCTAAAATTGGCAAGAAAATAGTTGCCTAATAACACAATCAACCACTTAACAAGAATTGGAAAAGAAAGAGTAAAAGAATATAAAGGAGGAAAGAAATCCTTTTTTACTTGTCATAAGCCAAACGATTTTTTGCATAGATCTAAAATAATTCCCAGAACAATTGTTAAAATAAATAAAAGAGCTTAATGAGTCTGCCAGATAAAAAGATCAACACAAAAATTGACTGCATTTTCATACACCAGCAGTATACAATTAACAGTTTTCAAAAAGAGATGCTTAGTAACAATGTATTAGTAATCTAGAATTAAATCTAAATAATGGATGTACAACATCTTCATAAATAAAAATTTAAAACTATATAAATATAAAAGGAGACCCCAATAATTGGAGAAACGTAAAATTCTCAAGGATAAGCAGAACCATTATTACAAAGATGTCAATTTTCTTCAAAATGATCTACACATGCAAACCTACTGGAGTAATCACTGCAACAGTTTTCAAGGGATTTTACAACCTATTTCTAAAGAATATATTGGAAGTCAAAATGTTCCCTAAGGGGGAAAAATGAGGTTAGTCTTCCCCTAACACAAGCATTTATAAAGTAAAAAAAAAAAAGTAAGTAAGGCAGTGTCATTCAATTAAGATTCACACAAGCAACCAAAGGAACAGAACAGAGTGCAGAACAGATCAGACCACATACAGAAATTTCCACGTCCTTAGGAAAGGAGCAGTATTCAATAAATGATGATGGGATGCTACTGGACCATTAAAAAAAAAAAAAAGTCATAGACCACAGACAAAAACCAATTGAGTGGATCAAGGACTTAAATACAAAAAGCAAAATTTAGGTAGTCCAACAGACAAATGAAAACTAAACAAGAGATGTGACAAGGCATTTCAGAGAAAAGGGAACAAGAATGACCACTAATAAATGAAAATCTCTCAACCCCTTTAGTAACCAAGAAAACAAATTCAACTTAATGATAAGATAACAATTTCATATTATCAGAACTTTAAAAAAGACATCTCAAAAGTTGTCAAGAATATTGTACAACAGAAATTTTTGAGTCTTAGTAGATGGGTAAACTGGTCACTTTAAAAATAATTAAACTCTACCTAGTAAAGTTGAAAATGTAAGTATCTTTTTTTAAAAAAAAATTTGTAGTTGTAAATGGACAGAATGCCTTTATTTTATTTGTTTATTTTTATGTGGTGCTGAGGATCAAACCCAGTGCCTCATGCATGCTAGGCAAGCACTCTGCCACTGAGCTACAACCCCAGCCCCAAAATATAAGTATTTTAAGACTGCTGTCTCATCATTCTTAGATGCAGACAAATTTTCTTGCATTTGTACACAGGCGAGCTAGAAACAAGCTAACTGTTCTTCAAAGTAGAAGAGACAGAAAAATTTAACTAGTTATCCAATGGAACATTAGACATCAAGGAAAACAAGTGATCTAAGCTATGAGCATCAACGTGAACTAATATTAAAAACATAATACCATTAGGTTTTCCTTGTTTTGAAATATGTATCAAGTCACAAAAAATCATGATATTAATCCACTAATACATATTCTAAAACAGGCTAACAATAAACTATGTATCATAGGACAGTATGAGGAAAACATACACATGTTGAAAATTATTGAGAAAATCAGAAAAAAAGTGAAGAATTTAGGACAATGATTATATTCACAGAGAGAAGATGATCAGGGAGGAACATGAAAAGGGGACCTCAAAAGCACTGAAAGGATCACTTTTCTAAAGTTAAGTCACATTCTGGGTAAGGTTGTATCACACATTACTTGTGACATGCAGGACTGATAGTTTATTTTTATTATTTAATAATGTACATTACACACACATAAATATGTACATATGTACACACATATAGTATGCTTCCTTTTCTGTAAAACTACCATTTAGGTGAGAAGTTGCCACATGGGCCCTCCTGATATGGACTTGTGGGAAATGGAACTCAGGTAAAAAGCAAAATAAAATGCTACTCTTCAAACTGCCACTATTGTAATAAACTCTTTTGTCTCTGACCAAGGAGTCTCCTGTCTTCTTCTAATATCCATGAAATTTTGGTGGACAAAACTACTACTTTACAAGGAGGGCAAAATCTTAGATCCTACAGAATTTTTTAAAAGATTATGAGATCTTACTTATGAAAAGTAAATGAGAGGTGTGCATGGTAGAAAATCCCCTTCAGAGGTGAAAGGAAAAATTAGTTTTAGCATTTGCTGAGTTACAAAATATAAATGAGATCTAGTGCAGCTAGCCCACATCCCTGGTCTCTGTTTCCTCGTCTAAAGAATGGAAGAATGTTAACACAATTTTCTGAAGACAGTTAGCAAAGCTCCTAATTCTGGAGATTTAAAATCATAGATGTAAGGGAAAAAATATAATATGAAATGTATAGTCACTGAACAAAGAAATATGAAAAATAGTATGCAAAAGCTAAAGATAAAAATTGTGATGACAGCAAGTACAAAGTTTATTTCATGCATATTGAAATATTTATCTATAGTATATGATAAAATAAAAATTCTCTTTTAAGTTGTGAATCAAAGAGAAAATAAAGGATCCTGTGACAAAGTTCAAGTAAAATATTTTCATGATACACGAATGCCACTGAAGTGAAAAATCTTCTATAAGACCACCCAACCTTGACAAGTGTATTCATATGGGATTTAAAGAGTAATATTTGTATGACATACAGTAGGTGGTCTTTTGCGTGGGTGAAAAATTCCAGCTGACTTTGGTTCACGAATGCTGCTACAAGAATTATGATGAATTCCCACCTATGGAATAAAGTTAGCTTAAACTTCAAATTCTGCTGTCAGAACTATACTCCTTCTTTGTGATGAAACATTCAAAGTTCTTAATCACCTCTGTATGTAGACCATGTATCTATCAATTCAGATATATATAGAAATAGATATAGCTATGGATCAGTATGCACATCTAGATAATATATACCCACAGATACAGCTTTTCCTTTAAATTGCTTATATTTATCTTATTGATTTGGTTATCTGGGAGCTCAAATGTAAAATTATTAGCACTAATGTTAATTTATGTTTTCTAGCACAACTGCATTCCTTTACATGAATTTCTGTTCTCTATTCCTTTTCTTTTTTTATACACTTTTTTTTACCAAAAATTAACACAAGTCACTTTAGAAATAGAAGTAATAACTGTTTATGTATATTTATGTGTCTTCTCATTTTAAATGAAGACTAAATGAAATACAGCATAAATAAGGTGGTAACTTTCTTAGCTCATTAGAAAATCAAAACAAAGGTGCCATTTCAAAGTACAACAAGGAAAAAATTTGAAAGACAACAGTTGTTAAGTTCTGTCAGAATTCCAGGTGAAGTATGCTAACTTACTTGCAAATGTCATCTTCTGGGTCTTCCAGCCCAAATCTTTCATCAAATGTAAGTTGTATCCACACATTTTCCTCTGCTACTAATCTCCATACCAAGACCATATTTCTTGGGTAAGTATGAGGAAACCTTGGGCTGTGAATACTCCCATTTGTAGACACAGTAATAATTCTCTCATGCTGGGGATTTTGTACTCCTAAAGGAAAAACATAAGAGATGGACATTTTTTTAGAGGAGACATTTTAAAAATTATAGGTTTTCAAAATTTCACATTTTACTCCAAACAAGTGTTCAGTACACTTGTGAACAATATAAACCAAGCACCACTGTTTTCAAACCACATAAAAAAGGTTATTTCAACATTATTAAATAAAATCCTATGTTTTAATTCTTTAATCCTACTTAAAGAATATAGCAAATTCATCTTTTTAAAGCTAATTACCAAAGTGTCAATCATCAGCTCTGTAGAATCCTAAAATCACAATAAAGCTGAGTTAAGATTCAAATTTCCAAGAAATTATCAAACATAAACCATATTACAATAAAAATAAGCTTCATATACTATTGCTTTTAAAAATACAAATAATGAGGCTGGGGCTGGGGCTTGCAGTAGAGCACTTACCATGCATGTGTGAGGCACTGAGTTCAATTCTCAGCACCACATATAAATAAATAATGATCTATCAATAATTAAAAAAATTAAAAATGCAAATAATGATTAATGTACCCTAATTGTAAACAGCAGAGCCCAGGGAATAAGTAATTTAGAGTTTGTATGAATATCACATATGAGAAAATATGAGATAGTTGAAGAAAAATAAATGTGAGGATAAAAGAGGCAGAAATTGAATAATAAACTAAGAAGTTATTTGCTCTTCTTATTGATCTATTAAATGTCAATCAGCACACCACACCACATGCCATTTAAAGCTTTTTACCTGCTTCTTACTCTTAGTGCTTTCAAAACAGAGCTGACAAAATAATCTTAAAAACTTATGCTTACTTAGGGGCCCATAATTTTGGAAGAAGGATCATCCAACACAACCTCAACATTTCACATGAACTGAAATTACTAAAGGAACTTAAAATGTAAAAATGAGGTCAAAGTTATGGTCTTAATGTGTTGTTATGAGGAAAATAGTAAGCATTAATCAAAGATGTTAAAATATAAGAAATATTGCAGAACACCTCAGGGCCTACATATACTCACTTGAATTCTGAATTTTCAGAGGACAGCATGAAATAGATTCCAAGTTCATTAGGCATGGATTACTTTACATCTTGAATTATTTTACATCTGCTAAAGTATGTTGTTAATAACATCTTTCTTTTGATTTGAATGTTGGGATACATATTGAGGGGAAGGGCAAATTAGCATTTCTAAAATAAATCTGTTTTTATACCCACCAATTTGAGGGTTAAGTGAAAATTCATAATTGCTATTTGTCAAATGAGCAGTCATTCTCTCACTCAAAAAACCCCTGAAAAGTAAGACAGCTATGGTGTTCAAGCCAGAGAGTCCATTTAAGTAGATTAAATACTACTACTACTACTAATACTACAATAATAATAATAATAATAATAATAATAATAATAATAATAATAATAATAAAACTTTTAAACTATCCTTCATTCAATTTGCAGTGTAATTTTATAAATTTTTAAAGCCCTAAACAGCAACCCAAATACATAAAGTGGGGAGGGTGTATTCATTTCCTCTGATTCTGTTAATTCAAACTGCAAAGCACATAATGAAATCTTCATGCCAAGATATCTAACACTCCATATTTTTGGTCAACATTTATACACTCATAACTTCATGAGAACAGATTTAACCATAGTAATTCTGCATTCATTTTGATGACTGAGAGATCTACTCCCCAACACTGAACATTGGTTTGTAGTTACAGAAAGATAAGAGTATGATTATTCATTTACCCCTCTCTCAACATCCAATGCCATAGACATTTATATTTACTTGATATAAATAAGATAAATCTCATTTAATTCATTTCCTCTTGTCCTTTCCCTTCAAACTTCAATACAGATTTAGTAAGTCCTACTAAATTGTCAATTTTACACTTTACATTTTTCTTCTTTGCATTTCTATTAAGAGTTTCCTCCCTTTCCTCTTCTCTATGACTTTCATTTGCTATAACTTAATTCCCTTTTAACTAACAGATTTCCCAGTCCCCTGTTTCCCTACTCAATATCTTAAACTTCCTGATTGCACACCGGAGATCTCACTTCCTAAGTGGTAGACGGAAGTCTAAGATGACCCCCAACATTCCTCATCTCTCAATAAACCCCTCATCGTAGTGAGCAACCATGGGCTATTGCTCCCAGGAGCAGGTTAGTTGAGTCTGAGTTAATCAAAAGGCAGACAATTTAAGTGTGCCTAAACTAATCAACTGAGGCAATAAAAGAAGCTGGGTCCTTCTTCAGCTCAGAGGATTCAGAGTGTGAGGGAGAGTCAAAAGGAGAGAGATTCTTTGTTGCTGACTTTGAAAATGAAAAAGGCTATCTGGCAAGGGATGTGAGAAGCCCCTGGAAGCTAAGAGTAGACTATGACAAGGAAGGGGGACCTGAGTCCTAAAACACCTACCATCTGGAAGAACCTAGACACACGTTCATTTCCAAGGCCTCTAGAAACAAGGCTTTTTGATTTTAGCCTTCTGAAACCTTGAGCAAAGCCCAATAACAGGAGGCCTTCCCTTCTGACATGGGGACAGGAGCATTAACAAAGGGAATTTTAAGCTGCCAAAGTTGTGATAAGTTCTTACATAATATTAGAAAACAAATACCATTCTATTGTTGTGGAAAGCTGGTTAGGTTGAAGGTATGTCTTTGTGTTCTAATCTCCAGCACTAATTATAGTAATTATACCTACTTTTCTTTTGCTATTCATGTTAGGCAGACTATGTTAACATTATTTCACATTGATAAATGTATCTAAGAAACTTCTTGAATTTAAGAGACACTTCAAGACAAGGGTCATGAATTCCTTAGAATATTATTAAGGTTAATTAATAATTAAAATTGTTTTGAGCAGTGTAAGGATAAAAACCATTTTAAAAGATGTATTTGTGACTTTTAAAATTACATAATCTAATTCTGCCTTTCTTCTCATGAAAATTGCCTAAATTTTCATGATCAATAAGCAGTTTATTCGGTATCACGTTCCCCCACACTGGATGCTAATATCTGATATTGCTGTTGACTATAAGAATTTATATGAAATTATTATTACTTCTTTTGTGCCCATAATTTAGCACCGATATATCTCCTAACACAGATGGCACTATCAAGTGAGATGGATTTTCCACATACTGACAAACTACAACATTATTAAGGAAATGATGATTGTTAACTATTCGAATTAAATTCTTGAACTTTGGTTACAAATATTTCCTTTAAAACAAGCTGTTGTGGGCTGTGGTATCATATACCTGTAATCTCAGTGTCTCAGGAGGCTGAGGCGGGAGGATCACTAATTCAAAGCAAGCCTCAGAAATCTCGTGAGGCCCTCAGCAACTTAGTGAGACCCTATCTCAAAATAAAAAATAAAAAGGGCTTGGGGGCTGGGGATGTGGCTCAAGCGGTAGTGCGCAAGACTGGCATGTGCAGGGTGCTGGGTTCGATCCTCAGCACTACATAAAAATAAAATAAAGATGTTGTGTCCACCGAAAACTAAAAAATAAATATTAAAAAATTCTCTCTCTCTCTCTCTCAAAAAAAAAAAAAAAAAAAAGGGCTGGGGATTTGCTCAGTGGTAAAACACCCATGGGTTCAATCTCTGGTTATTAAAAAAAAGAAGCAAAAACTATCATTCTCTAAAGTTTCTTCCAATAATTACATATTTCAGAAGTATTTACAGTAATAGCTTATATTTAGGTGACTAATTTTTTTAATGAATTAATTTTTCAGGACAGATTTATTAAAATTGAGTATCTGTCTTCTGAGTTTCTAAACAAATGACTCTGCTTCACAAACAACTGTGTTCACTCTTTCATTTAAAATCTAGAAAACTACATGGCTATTAAAAGATCTGAATTCTATTTTTATATCTTCAATCAAAAAAGCTCATGGCTAACATGCATATACTTAAACTTAGGTTAACATATTTTTCCTTGTAATTCATAACTGTGTTAGAGTATAATTAAACATCATTTAAAGACTTGACAATCTAGCCTGTATCTGTGGTTAAAAAAAAAATTGTAATTTCTTTTTAAATTAAATTGCTGCACCCAAAATATTCACCTAAACATGCCATCAGGTTTGCTACCCAACATGTGATCTGCACATGACTATCAAAGTTTTATGTGAATCTCAAGCAACGAGGGCCTGTAATCAAGATGAAAAAAAAGAAAGAAAAAGCAACAAACATTAAGTTCTACGAAATAAGAACTCTGAACTTAACAGTTCTGTTGTTTTAAACATCATCTTTTCAAACATAAGGTTATTATATTTTAGGGATGAGACAAGTATGCAGTGTTTTTGTGACTACTCAAGGTACCAATTAAATAAAACACATTTGTAGTCAAATGACTAAAATATTGACAATGTGATCCTTGCAATGTATACTGAAACAAGAATAAATCTTGTATAGCTTAGATTTAAAAAGAAAAATATATGTAAACACTAAATTCTGAAAATTGTAATTATGTACAAAGTCATTTTATGTGGTTCAACTCTTCTTAAGGTAGGAGTACTGAAAATTAAAATGAAGAAAAATATATTAAAAAGGAAAACAAAAGTGATTAATGATGTAAACAGTGTAAAATAATTTAATTATATAGATATAATAATATTATAATTTAATTATATAGATATATTATACTCTGTATGTATTAAATCACAGCAATTAAAATCACAGCAACTCCAAAATGTTTGCCTTGCATGACACATGGTTTATACATTTAAAAATTTATTTATTAAGGATGAAAGAGAGTGATAGTAAGAGAATTATAAAAATAAATAAAAGTTGTAATATTTCAAAATGATATACTACTAAGAAAGATAGCACTAAAAAAGAAGTTTAAGGATAACATATAACTCATAAAGATAAATGATACATGTCTTTCTGTATTCTAATATTTTAAATTGATTTTAGCATAAAAGTTCAGAAATGAGAATCTGGGGGAAAAACAAAACAAGTCTCCAATCTTGGTTTGGTTTTACCAGCTTTAAGAATTC